TCACCAGGCCCAGATGGCATACATCCAAGAGTTCTGAAAGAACTCAATTGTGAACTTGTGGATCTCCTGACAAAAATATGTAATCTCTCCTTAAAATCTGCCTCCATTCCTGAGGACTGGAAGGTAGCTAATGTCACTCCCATCTTTAAAAAGGGTTCCAGAGGAGATCCGGGAAATTACAGGCCAGTCAGTCTGACGTCGATACCAGGTAAATTGGTGGAAACCATTATTAAGGAAAGAATTAGTAGGCACATAGATGAACAAAACCTATTGAGGCAGACTCAACATGGGTTCTGTAAGGGAAGATCTTGTCTCACTAACCTGTTAATGTTCTTTGAGGGGGTGAACAAACATGTGGACAAGGGGGATCCAATAGATATTGTTTACCTTGACTTCCAGAAAGCTTTTGATAAAGTTCCTCATCAAAGGCTCCTAAGTCAGCTCAAAAATCAAGTCCTTTTATGGATCAAAAACTGGCTAATTAATAGAAAACAGAGAGTGAGTATAAATGGGCAGTTCTCCCAGTGGAGGGGGGTAAGCAGTGGGGTACCACAGGGATCAGTACTTGGTCCACTGCTTTTTAACTTGTTCATTAATGATTTGGAGTTGGGAGTAAGCAGTGAAGTGGCTAAATTTGCGGATGATACGAAGTTGTTCAGGGTGGTGAAAACCAGTGAGGATTGTGAGGCACTCCAAAGGGATCTGTCAAAGTTGGGCGAGTGGGCGTCAACATGGCAAATGGGGTTCAATGTGGCCAAGTGCAAGGTGATGCACATTGGAGCCAAAAATCCTAAATATAAATACACGTTGATGGGGTCTGAACTGGCAGAGACTGATCAAGAGAGAGATCTTGGAGTTGTAGTAGATAACTCACTGAAAATGTCGAGACAGTGTGTGACTGCAATAAAGAAGGCCAATGCTATGCTGGGGATTATTAGGAAGGGTATTGTAAACAGATCAGCCAATATCATAATGCCGCTATATAAATCAATGGTGCGACCTCATCTGGAATACTGTGTGCAATTCTGGTCACCACACCTTAAAAAGGATATTATAGCTTTGGAAAAAGTGCAGAAAAGAGCAACTCGAATGATAAAAGGGTTGGAACACTTTCCCTATGAGGAAAGGTTAAGGTGCTTAGGGCTCTTTAGCTTGGAGAAACGACGACTGAGGGGTGACATGATTGAGGTTTATAAGATTATGCATGGGAAAGAGCAGGTAGAGAAAGAGGTACTTTTCTCCCTTTCTCACAATACAAGAACCCGTGGGCACTCCATGAAAATGCTGAGCGGTCGGGTTAGAATGGATAAAAGGAAGTACTTCTTCACCCAAAGAGTGATTAACACTTGGAATTCACTGCCACAGGAAGTGGTGGCGGCTACAAGCATGGACGGCTTCAAAAGGGAATTAGATAAGCATATGGAGCAGAGGTCCATCAGTGGCTATTAGCCACAAGGTATAGATAGGGACTCTGGGGCAAGTGATGCTCTGTCATCTTGGTGCTTGGGGGGGGGTCAACAGTGGGAGGGCTTCTAATGTCCTGGCCCCACTGGTGGACCTCCTGATGGCACTGGTATTTCTGGCCACTGTGGGATACAGAGTGTTGGACTGGATGGGCCTTTGGCCTGATCCAACATTGGCATCTCTTATGTTCTTATGTTCTTATGTTCTTAAATCTAATGAGAACCTTTCACAAACAAGTAGCACCATTTAAAAAAAAGATTCATTTGCTATTAAACCATAACCTATGATTCTGCTGCTTTAAGAAAGGATACTGAAATTTGCTAATATGTTGAAATGTGCATTTTTGTGCCTTTTTGCTACAAAATCATAGCAGTTTCATAGCAAAAAGGCACAAAAAATACATGTTTACCAAGGAACAAATCCCATTGTGAAATTTAATGCATTCTGACTTCCAGAAAACTGACAACACTATATAGAAAAAAATTAAAGTATGCCAATACTATATCTACTATTCACTTTACATCATAATTTGTAAGAATTATTTGTTTATTTCTTTTCTTTCAGCTTACTACTTATTGTACAGCTTATTGTAATCTTGCAATAATTTCAAGACACTATTACTTGTACTTTAGTGGAGTTCTGTAAATTACAATGTTCCAGACCAGCATTTAGATAAGTATCCTGTTCATATCAGGGTCATACTTTAGCTTGTCTACCTGCGCTGAGCTTACACACTTCCCTTTTCCTCTTGCCAAGTTTCATTCCATTTACTGATGTTGGTGGTAATCTCAGTTTGCCAAGAAATCTAAACTGGGCAAACTATGTCCCAATCAAAATCTACTTTGAAACAACAAAAAAACCCCAAACAACATAAAGGCCCATAGCATATTCCTGATAGACTAACTATAGTTTGGCTGTAAAGTCTGAACTGAGCCAATGACTTGAATCTGTGTCACTTAGGTAATACAAATAGTTCTTTGCATAGTATATACACAAAACTCTGTAGATCTTAAGCTCCAAACAACAGCAGCACTGCAATTTATCTAGAAGTCCAACTGAAATCAGTGGAATAATGTGAAGCAGTTTGGATCAGGCAGAAACTATATTTCCACTGTATTACTCCTTGGTCATCCATTATTCTTATTTTAAAGCTATAAATGCCAAGCATGAACAAATGCTTGTTACATTAAAATATATTTACACTTCAGTTACATGCATCTACTTTCAACCTGAATTTTGGCCCATAGACCATGGATGTCAAAGAACATCTGAGCTGGACAAAACAGAGTGGTCTTCTGCTTATGACAGAAGTAATAGAAGGATTGCTCCCTGCCCAGGTGTATGGAACTGAACTGCAGAAAGCCTAAAACAAATTCCACATCCGAGGAAAACAGGTGCAATGTAAGAAGGTGACACACATATTAACTTCTAGAAGCAATGACCAGGAATAATGTATGGATTTATTTTGCATTTAGATATCATGTGGCCAAAAGTACCACACAGAGTAAATGATACCATGGCCACTAGGCAGGCCAGAGGATCAGATACCAACTAGCTTGCATGACAAAAGCAGG